TCAGACGTGTGCTCTTCCGCTTATTTGTCAATCTTCAAAAATTAATATCTCGTTAACGATTGCGAATTTTGCAAAATGGTAGAGAACTTTTCGATCCAGTTTAATCTGCTCTACCAGCTCACGAGATATTATCCGGTTATTACCGGACACCCTGTATGTATATGTATGTATACATATATATAATATCGTCTACCTATTCAGATGTTATAAATTAGCGCTGAAAAAGTCTTTTTTTTCGTTTTCGCTATTCTTTCATTTTATTTTTCTTTTGTCCAATGAACCTATTGTCGTTCCATAGTGAGAAATACAATACAATAGTGAGAAGTATACATAAATGACTTAAGCTCACAGTTTCGACATAAAAACTTTGGAAATCCCCCTGGGATCTATGGAAAAAGGTCTTTTATATGCATTTAAAAATTTTTGTTGGAAAACCATTAAGAAACTCCGTTAAGAAAGAGAAAAGATTTAACAAAAGTATTAATTTCTTCATGGCATTTCCTGTTCTTCTAATTTCCAATATATTTTGTCTCGGGTAGAAAATCTGAGATTCGTCGCATTGTCGCAGATTGTTAAAAATGGCTCGCGGTTAAAAAATTATTAAATTGCCTAAAATTATTCACGAGCGGGGTCAAAGAGAGTAGACGGAGAGAGAAAGAGGGGGGGAGAGGGGGAAGAGCAGATGCAGCAGGAAGAGTGAGGATGTTTAAGCCTATGGCACATAGAAAAATGTAGAGCAATACGACGTAAGCAGTAAGTGGATTTGCCAATTACAGAGAACGTAAGATTATTGCATTATGTTTTCTACTGTGATTGGCCGATTTGCTTTACGTTTTTCTAAGTGCCTTGTGCTTTAAGGGCTGTGCAAAATAAAAGAAATAGGGAAGAGGGAAAAGAGAATAAGAATTTCAGCCTATCAGAAGCCATGTATTTCAGAGTACACGATTTCTGATAGGTTGAAATTCTTATTCTCTGTTCTCTGTTCCCTTTCTTTTATTCTGCGCAGCCCTTTAAATACGATTAGAAGTGAGTGCATTACTTCAGTCCGATATTAACAGTATCCATTGGGATCTAGATCTCGAAGGAAAGCAGCAACCTCTCTCTACAATCTCCTTCTTTGATTTCCTTCAAAAAAGATCGTCGAATAGATAACGAAAAAATTGAGAGAAGAGTAAAGAAAACGTAACAGCCACGAGATGTTTCTACAAGACATCCCGGAAACGATCGTAAGTCTCCCGGTTGAATTAGAAACCGAAACGAAAGGAAGAAACACAGAACAGAAGAGTGAACGTGATAGTGAGAATCGTGTGAAAGGATATATTGTCACAGCAAGAGATACAAAGAATACTAATCTAATCACCATGACCAACGGTTCGAAGCAGATGGTTATCAAGTGAGTTGTCGCAATAGTTATTTATTAAAAACAGCAATTGCCCACAGTAAAAATGATCTTTTACGAAAGATCCCCAAATCATTTTCTTTATCTTAAATACAGCTATCTCTCTTTATTTACAAACTAATTTGATGCATTTTCACGATGCATTAATATGCAAAATTATTCTATAACGTTATAATTAAAGAAATCGAATGCAAGCTATATTTAGTAAAATTTAATGTACAGGGTGTTGCATGCAATATATACTTCATAATGGCAGCGTCGTCATCTTTAAGATAATAATGTATAACGTACCGTTTTGTGATCTTATAATGTTCTAGTATAAACTCTACAATCTTTAATTCTGTACATTTATATGTATATAGTTTGATAGTATATAAAGTCTTTATAGCTGATATATAGTTAACAATTCAAATTACACTCACTCGGTTAGAATTATATTACAAATGACTACAATTTCGAACAAAATAAAATTTCTAAATAAATTTCGAAATAAAAAAAAAATAAAGAGATTTTGAAGAACAGGCACATGTATCGTTATCAGAAGAGTCGAACCATGCGAGTGAACGAAGACAAGGAATGAGATAAACGTATACCAAAGTAGATTACTGAATTATTTGCAACGATAACTTGCAATTTATACTTTTTGTTTTACTATGTGACTACCGTTTGATTTATACATTTATAATTTTTGACAATTTTGACCACGTCTGTTATATGGGTTTATACTTCTCCGTATCATTGCGATTATGCATGGGTGTATAATAATCCACCCAGTCAGTCAACGCTCAAGAAATGCACAATTTTCACGCGCTTTCATATTTTTATTAATGTAGTTTGTTATTTGTAATTATAAGTTAGCCATCATCATCGTACAAAACGTACAACGTACAAAATCTTATAATTTTTACTTCATCTCATTAAAATTATATTTTATTTATTGCATATAATACTAATTTGCGCACCTCTTACCGCGCCTAACTTCTATAGCCTTCTTTTTATTAATTATTGTGATTTTAATGAAAGTTCTAATAATTTCGTTTATTTATTTATTTTATTCGAAATTATTCTGTTTTGATATTTATATTTTTTAAATAGCATATATTTTTTAGCGATAATATAATTTTGTTTATGTCGTTGTTCTTAATTTATAATATTTATGCAGAAATCCAACATGGTCGAAGAGACGATGCGGTATGGAATGCAGATTAATGGTGAGAGCAGTCTCCGCGTTTCTCTTGTGCATCGCTTTGGCGATCGCTCTCGGAATTTTGGCTATCAAAACGACATGCAACGCCACGTCAAAAATCGGTAAGAACATTCAATTTTAGCGCAACACGAACTGTTCACCATGCATTTTGCAATTTCTGTATTGTTTAAAAAGTAATATAATATAAATAAAATAATAAAATAATATAAATAAAAAGTAATAAAAATTGTAATATTATTATGTATTACAATTTTAACATTACGCGTATTATAACATTACGTACATTAACGTACATTAACGTATTATAACATTACGCTGTATTTTAAAAAGAGAAAGAAAGTTTCACATTTTGACAAGATAGCTTGATAATTTAATATCATAAAAAATACAGCACTCGACACAAGCAAACTAATAACTTGACAGAGAAACAATATTAAATTAATTGTGTACACTGTATACAGTTTCATTTCCATCGCGGCTTGTGAAATGTCCGTTCCATCGCATTAATTAATTATTCTTGTTATGCATTTTTTTCGCATCTGCATATTCATCAAGAACAAACATCAATAAACAGAACAAAAAGAAACGTAATATCGTCCACAACTGTGACGTTAAGTGATGCGAAGCCGAAAACACCGAAGTACATGATGTCAAAGGAAACGAAATTCGACGATATCTGTTTAACACCTGGATGCATTCACGCAGGTTAGTAAAATATACGGCAAAACTTGAATTCTTTATCTATCTAAATATTTTAGCAAAACTGAATGACATATATCGTCATATGAGTAGCAGATATCAACAGATATTTTTTAAAAAGTATTACGTTAACAAAAAATATTTTATCGAGATCATTGCATATAATACAATGAAATGGTCAATTTGTTAGAAAATATTTATTTATTAAAAATATTTCAAATATATATAGCAACTTATTAAAATTTAAACATTAAACATTATATGTTTTATACGCCATAAATTAATTTTATAAATAGTCCGGTTCGAAAACTAAGAAATCAACTATTTCGAAATATCGGATTGTACTAATCTGCTCAACGTACATGTATTGCAGCCTCTCAAATAATAAAAAACATGAATCCTGATGTGGAGCCCTGTGATAACTTTTACAAATTCGCCTGCGATGGCTTCCTCGAATCCACTGTTATTCCTGACAACAAAGATCGCATAACTATGTTCTCTAGTACGGCTGTCGATGTCCAGGAACAACTACGGCTCAGTCTCGAGCAGGACAGTCTACCAAACGAGTTGAGACCATTTAAACTTGCCAAAGACTTCTACAAATCCTGCATGAATAAAAGTAAGCAATCGCGACATATAATTTTCCGTATAAGCCACCAAACTCGGAAATATAGACTCATAATGAATCTACTGAAATAATAGCAAAATTAATAAAATTGTAAACTCTATTGATTTGTAATTTAACGATATCATATGAAGCTTTGATTTTAATAAATTTCTCCCAAAAAAAGTACAGTTGAAATATTTTAACACGTAATATTGGAAGAATTGGAAGAATAACTGTATATAACAGTCATTTTGTAAATCCTGTTAAAAACAGTTTAGATTAACAATGGACAAAATATTTAAAAAAACGAAAATATTTTTTTATTTTGTCTTTTTTATATCATTTTTAAATTCGCTATTTCTTTTAGCCGCTATCGAGCAGAGAGGCTTGACACCATTATTGAACAACCTGAAGAAACTTGGTGGCTGGCCTGTTTTGGATGGTTTTGGATGGAACGAAAACAATTTCACTTGGAAAGATTCCGTCTACAGATTCCGCAGTTTGGGCTATTCTGTCAATTATTTCATCGATATTAGTATTAAAGAGGACAAGATGAATGAATCGAGATATTTGATTAATGTAAGCACGTAATTTATTTTAATACCGGAATAAACACAGAACAAACATCATAAGTCATAAGTACAAAATTATATATGTAAAGTAATATAAATTATATTTTTTTCACTAGCCGAATATACGGCATTTGTTCCCAAGGATACACGCTAAATAAAAACTGATAATTTTTGATAGCTCAATCCACCGGACACAAAAATCGAGCGCGAATATATTACAGAAGACAACGGTAAAATTGAAATTGTTGAAGAATATTACGAGTACGTAGTAGACATCGCTGTAATGCTTGGAGCGAATCCGGACCGAGCCCGCAGAGAACTAGAAGAATCAGTTAAATTTGAAATGGATCTCGCCAGAGTAAGCTATCCTTACAGTTATTAATCAATAATGAAATAATTTTATAAATTTTGATTTAAAAAATTTTTCAAATCGTTGGTAGATTAAAATTGATGTCAATTGATTTAATGGATAAATATGCACACAGCTCTTGCCGAAGGAACGTAGCTCGGTTTTCAACTGTATGACTGTGAATGAGCTATTTACAGCCTGGCCTAGCATACCGTGGTGGGAATACTTTAACACCATTCTTTCACCGCAAACACAACTAAGTCAGGACGACATAGTTATTGTGTTTGAACCCAGCTATCTACGGGCCTTCGAACAATTGATCTTGAAGACGCCGAAGAGGGTGCAGGCAAACTACGCGCTCTGGAGAGCGACTGCTGATTCAATCCAGTACCTAACAGATGACATCCGGAAGAGACAGTTAGAATATACCGAGACAAAGAGACAACCAAGATGGGAAGAATGTATGAACACTGTTATCGACAGCGTAATGTCATATAGTGTCAAATCGATGTATGTGAAGAAGTATTTTAAAGAAGACACAAAGAAAACCGTGTTCGAAATGGTCGATAATATTAGGCAGGAATTCATAAAAATCCTGAATAAGGTGAGAGAATGTATCAAAACTTAAATTTAAGATTATAAAGAAGAAATTTTGCGATTATCATACTTCGACTTACAATTACTTTCTTATCTAGGATTGGAATTTAAAAAATAAAAAATCTATCTTTTTTAGTATTTTTCTCTTTGTACAAAAATTAAAATAATTTATAACCAAAGAAACAAAAAAATATAAATCACATGTGTCTTTATCAATAAATTCGAATTTTGGAAACGACATTTTAGTAATCGATATTTGTCATTATATAAAAAATATATAAAATAGTTAAAAATGTGAAATTTAAAAATCTTTATCATGTATATTTATAGAGAAATGTAAATTTTTGACAAACTTACATGCCTTTTAGATAAAATGGATGAATGAGACGACCAGAACAAACGCTTTAGAAAAAGTAGCCGCCGTGACTTCAAATATTGCCTATCCAAATGAACTGTTGAACGATAAAAAGCTAGAGGAATTTTATGAGAAACTTGAATTGAGTGCCGACAATTACATAGGAAATGCTTTTAACTTATCTATACATCTATGGAATTTCCAATTTAGTAAACTAAAACAGCCAGCAAAGAAAACAAAATGGTTATCTTATGCTTCAGGAATGACTGAGGTCAATGCATATTACAGGGCCAGCCAGAACAGTATTTGTAAGTAGAAACAATCTCGTATAAACATATACAATATATTAGTAAACAATATTATTAGATTATTTTTTGCAAATTGAGTAATTAATGTATACTTCAATGTATACATCAATATAATAAATTCTATAAAATTATATTATCCTTTATTCCTTATTTTTTATAATATTTGTTGCTATATGTACCGAATTATGCTTTTATTTTTCTCGTAGACATCCCCGCGGGTATTTTGCAAGGTCAATTTTTTAGCAATGATCGGCCACAATACATGAATTATGGCGGAATCGGCTATATCATTGGCCACGAAATTACTCACGGCTTTGATAATAACGGCAGACAATTTAATAAAGAAGGTAATTTCGTAGACTGGTGGGACCCAGAAGCGAAAAAGCATTATCTCAAGAGAGTTGAATGTTTAATTCATCAATATGGAAATTATACCGTAAAAGAAGTTGGATGGAACGTAAGATCAAATCTTATCTATTTCTATTATCAAATTATTCTTTTCCTATGTGAATATTTTTTTTAATTTTTGACGCGGGAGAATTATATCGATAAAATATGAAAAATTTTAGCCTTATTGTATGAGTCGTTTCACAACTCATACTTATTGACTATAACTCTTAAACAAAATAATTTGTAATGATAATTAATGTAACGATAATTAATATCATCATACTAATCAAAATAACTTTTTTCGATTAGTAATAGAATTAATATCATCGATAATTAATATCATCATACTAATCGAACTACTTTATTCATTCATGTAACTGTTAGATGAAAGCGCATTGTCTTCACAAGAATAATTATCATTTAAGTCAATGCTTATTGTCGCGGAATTGTGAGAATAAAATATTCACGTGCGATAAGAGTAATGGTGATGACAACAGAAGTTTTCGTAATATTCGTACAAAATTATAATACTATGCAATAAATTTA